GGAAAGAGAAAACAGGCCCCCTGGTCCAGAACTTGAACGAACTTTGGTTAATGTGGGAGTCCAGCACCATAACCCACATACCACTTGCCAGCCCCATTTAGTGCATACTGGGCTCAGAGCTAAGATGTGAGAGCAGTATTGTGTTGCCATTTCACAGTGCATAACAGTTCTAGGATGCTAGAATTGACACATATCACAAACCTTTTTTCAAAAAAAGAAAAACTTACACTTCACATGTGTGTGGAGCTCTTACAATGGCCTAGAACTTGCCCTCAGTAGATGATTTATTGTTGTTGAACTAAGAATAACATTTTTTAATATTCAAGATAGAGCATGTATGTGCAATTAATTGAGAGAGAAAGGAGGAGGAAGAATGGGAGGAAGGAGAACCCTCCATGGGGTTTGGCCATGTCATACTCCCCTGTCTTCATTCCTCCAGCCCACGGGGTCTTGGGCACTTGCATAAGTGCCCGATGTGTTTCAGACACCCGGGGGGTGATTTCTCGCTTTCTGTCTGTCTCTCTCTGGCGAGCACACATGCCCTATAGCAAAAATATTTAATATTATAATTTGCTGTAGGACCCATGCACTTAACAGAAAGAGACAATGGGGGGGGGGAGAGTGAGATAGCAAGCTGCCAGGACTCAAACCTTGGTCTGCCCTGTTGGAGTCCAGTGCCCCAACCACTACACCATCTGCTGGTCCTCCACAGCTTTTATTTGGTTCTCTTTGATCATTTCTATTTATTGATAACTGTATGTCATGCATCTTCATCATCCTCCTACTTTTCTTCAGTCATGTTTTCGTTCAGTGCTTTGAACACATTTATTATACATATGTAGGCTTTGTTAAATTTGACATCTGGTCACTATCGCAGGCACTTTCTGTTGCCTGCTTTCTTTTCAGAAGAATGGGTTATATTTTCCTGTTTCTTGCATGCCTCATAATTTTATAAAACTGAGCAGCTTAGATAATGAATTGAAGCCACTCACAGTACTGGTCTCCCTACTCTTGGGCTTGCTTTTATTACTTGTTTGTGACTAGCTAGACAGAATGACCACGTTCTCCACAAGTTCTGTGTCTCTGATTTGCTCCCGGGGGAGGAGGGGCACTGCTTTGGGCCCGCCTACAGCTATCCTGAAAGGACAGTGGCTTTGGTAGGGTTCTCTTTCACTCTTACCCTGAACATACCCAACCTATAATGACACTTATTGCAGGCTATTTTTTCTAATGTTTTTAGCAATTCCCTGGAACACACATTTCTCTACAAAACTGAACAAATTAAAATTGTAATTCCTTGGGCAGATTAAATTCTGAGGCAGTGTTTTGTGGTGGTTCTGCTGTCAGAAGAGCTTCTCCCAGCTGTCATAATTTTTGTTCTCTCCAGCAAACCGACCTGCACATTTTCTAGGCCTATCTTCATTAGTACCAGAAACCTCCTCCCAGTGCCCTCACCATAACCCCCAGGTTTTCGTAGCAGACTTTCTCCACAAAATGAGTCAGTTCCTTTGGGAAGACTTAGACGTTACCTGCTTTTATAGCCTGTTTCTTACCGCAGGCAAAATCTCTGAACCTGGACTCTAGAGATAAGTGGGGACATGGTCAGCTTCTCTCTGAGTGACAGCCCTGCTTGAAGAGGTCAGCACAAGTGCAGGGAAAGAGGGATGTGGGTGCCTGGAGTGTACTAGCTCTCATCTAGCATGAAACCATGGCTTCACCAGTCACGAGAAGAGCTCTTGAGCTTCAGTACTCTCAGCATACCTCGTCTATAGTCCAAGTCTGTTCCTGGGTAGAAGAAGGAAAAGAGCCCCCACATCTCTCTTACACTCACCTAGGACTTAGCTTCACCAGCAGCAGGTACCTGGGGATGGCATGAGAAGCCCTCGTGTCCTATTCTTGTCAGAAAAAGCTGGGAGCTGAGGAGAGGGAGCCCTGTGTCAAGGGCCCTAGCAGGCCAGATGTATCCATGTCTTGCTGAACTGGAGGAGAGGGAGCAGTCTGGGTTCACATATCCACAGACTCACTTTTCTTAGCAAATTTTAGTACAGTTTCTTTTTTCTTTTTGAGAGAGGTTTTTGCTATAGGGCAGGGCACATGCGCTCACCAGAAAGACACAGAGAGATAGAAAGTGAGAAATCACCCCCAAGGGGAGATGGCCATGCCACAATCCCTTCTCCTCCATTCTCCTCTCAGGATCTTGGACACGCACGCACACGTGCCTGGTGTGAGTTTAAGCCACCAGGTCCGGTCTCAAACCACGGTCGACAACATGGGAGTCCAATGACATAGCTACTACGCCACCTGCTGGTCCCAAGTACATTTTCTTGAATAGATGTTTCTTCATTTACTATTTACCTTAAGACCATTTCCAGAGTTTGAATGGTGGCAACTTTAATTTTCATGAGTTTCACTAGGTCATCAAAGCACTGTCATGATACAAGTTAATCATCTCGCTTGCATTACTGAGATGCTCTAGAAGATAGTTAGGAAGTTCCATAAAAACGATTATTCCCTTAACCATATGACCTGCAAGTACTTGTGAGTGCTTATCCCAGAAAAGGAAAACAAGTCCATCCAAAACCATATGCACTCACTAGAGAGAGAGAGAGAAAGCACCCCCCCATAGGGTGTGGTCATACTGCAGTACCTTCTCTTTCATCTCTCCCTCAGGATTTTGGGTGTGCACACTCACTAGCATGATTTTTTTTTCAACCCACTGATTCCAGGACTCAAACTACATTACCAGCCAGGCGGCAGCCATCTTAACTACCAGACTATGAGCAGCTGTCACACAACTTGTTTTTATAGTAGCTGAAACAGCTCACACAACCATCAATAGGCAAGGGTTAAACAAAGTGTGGTACTAATAAAGAATGAAAAGAAATAACTCTTGATACATGCAACAATGTGGCTCTTAAAGACATTGGACTTAGTGGGAAAAAAGTCTCAAAAGGACACATACCACCCCACCCCACCCTGAAGAAAAGTACAAATATCATGTGATTCCATCTGCATAATGACATTCTCAGAGTGACAAAAATATGGAGATGGGTGTCATATTAAAGGATACCAGGGATTGGGGCAAGCAGGTGGTGTGGTGGTTAAGGGTGCTGGACTCCCACATGGCTGACTGTGATTGAAGTCCTGGACCTGGCAGCTTGCTTTCTCACCTTCTCTCTCTCTCTCTCTCTCTCTCTCTGTCCCTCTCTGGTCAAACTAAAAAAATAAATAAGTTTAAATAAAATAATTATTTTATTAAAAAAAAAAAAGGATACCAGGGATTAACGGTTGGAGAAAGGGGCAGTGTGAATATAAAGGGCAGCATGAGGGAGATTTGTGTGGTGACGGTCTATATTATGATTGCAGTTTTGGTGACTTGAATACACGTGTGTGAGAAAATGACAGAACCGTATTCACACTTTCAGTGCCAGCTTCTTGATTTGGTTTCATATTAATTATGTAAGATGTAACAACAGGGAAAGTGATTTTCTTTACTCTTACTTTTTTAAAATAATAACTTTATTGAGACATAATTCATATAGTATACAGTTCACCATTTTTTTTTTTTTAAATGTTTGCTGTAGGACATTTGAGCTCGCCAGAGAGACAGGGGAAATGAGAAAGCACTCCCCAAAGGGTATAGCCACACTATAATCCTTTCTCCTCCATTCACTTCTTGGGATTTGGGGCATGCACACGCATGCCTGGAGTGTTTTTCAAACCTCTGGGTCCCAACTCGAACCATGGTTTCATTTATGAGTACTGCATCCCTTTTGGTTACCAAATAATAATTCCATATTCAGGATATACCACATTTTATTTATCCTTTCATCACTTGGTGGATATTTGAGTTGTTCCCACGTCTGTTATGAATAATGCTACTGTGAACATTTGCATGCAAGTGTTTTTTTTTTTTTTTTGCAGATGTCTGTTTTCCTTTCTTTTAGCAATAGAATTTCAGGGTTGTATGGTAACTCTGTATATTATATTTTGAGAGCTGCCAAATTGTATTCCAGAACAGCTACACCATTTTACTTTCCTTCCAGCAGTTCATGAGGGTTCTGAGTTCCCACGTCCTCACCAACACGTTTTTATTGCAGCTATCCCAGTGCATATGAAGTGAAACCTTGCTGTAGTTTCTATTGCAATTCCCTAATAGTGATATCAAGTGACCCCATATGCTTACTAGCCATTAGTGTATTGGTCTTAGAGAAATATCTATTTAAATGCCCCTTTTAACTGCTTTGTCTTTTACTGAGTTCACTCTTGAAGTTATTAAGAATTACTCATACGTTTGAGATTCAAGTCCCTTATCAGTTCCATCTCTCTATCTTTGCAGCTTCCTGTGAGTCTATAATTTTTTCAAACTAAAAATTTCTTTTAAATGTTTATGAAATACAAAAGTATTTATAAAATTCTTTGAAATCTGAGGAAGGCTGGTAGACAGTTGTGATACTGTACTATGGTTGCACTTTGTGTTCCCACTGGGGGGGACGTTGCAGAAGAGTACATAAGATAAGATGTCTTTGTGCTGTTTCTTTTCTTTTTTGGAGAGATTGTTGCTATAGGGCAAGTGTGTTCACTGGAGAGCAGACAGAAAGCGAGAAATCACCTCCCTCCCCCAGGGGAAATGGCCACACCACAATCCTTTCTCCTCCACTTTCCTCTGGAGCTTTTGGGCACGCATGCACCCGGCATGAGTTTTAAGCCTCCGGATCTAGGACTCAAACCATGGTTGATTACGTGGTAGTCCAGCAATGTAACCCTTACGCCATCTGCTGGTCCCAGTGGTATGTTTCTTGCAGTCAGTGAACTATGGTGATACATGATAGTCACCCAATGTCCATAGTTTACACTAGGCTGTACTCTTGGAATTGTATAGTCTGTGGATTTAGACAGAGATATAGATAGGATTTTTTAAGATTAAAATAAACATTAAAATAATGTTTTAGTTTATAAAATAATTTTTAATTGTCCATGTAATATATGAGTACATTTTAAGTCCTAGTTATACAGTGATTTATACTTCACAGGTACAGCTAAGCTCACCTGTGACAAGCTCCTATTAATTCCAATCTGTCTGTCCCCAGTCTAGAGGATATATTTTGTACTTACTTTATTATATTACCAGTCACTGGGCTTTTCTACCTAAATTTGAAATCTAATTCACATTTAATTAATGTGATTTCCTCAGAATCTAGATAACACCAAAAGTCTTCTAAGACTTCATAACCAACCCTCCACGTGCTTGTAGGATCACACTTGAGTGAGGTTCCCAATAGCAAATGACCATTTTCCCTCTTTTAAGAAATTGGGATATTGGGACCAGCAGATGGCATAATGGATACATCACTGGACTCCCACGTAGTTGACCACAGTTCAGTCCTGGACCTGGCAGTCAAAAACTCATGCTGGGCACATGTGCTTGTATGCCCAAAATCCCGAGAGGAGAATGGAGGAGAAAGGATTGCAGTGTGGCACTCTCCCCTGGGGAGTGATTTCTCACTTTCTATCTCTCTGTCTTTCTCTGTCTCTCCAGCTAGCATATGCCCTCTATAACAAAACTCTCTCTTAAAAAAAAAAAAGGGAGGATGGAGGGAGAAAGGGGGCCAGCAGGTGGAATGGTGGCTAAGGGCACTAGATTCCCACATGGCCAAGCACGGTTTGAGTCCCAGACCTGACGGCTTGCTTTCTCACTTTCTCTCTCCCTCCCTCCCTCCTTCCCTCCCTCCCTTTCTGTCTTTCTGGTCAAATTAAACAAAGGTAAAAAAAAAAAAAAGAAATTGGAATATTAACTTGCTCTCTCTTAACTCACTAGATTAGCAGAGTATATCTTTAAAATATTGTCTTGGGGTGCATAAAAAGACAGAAATGTGCTCATGTTGTTGACCCTTCTTCCTAATGACTTAAATCCAGAGGATTTAAAGATATTTAAGTAAAGAAATTCTTGATAAAATACTGGCACTTAGGCTGATTGAACACAGATGATTTAGCTTTATAAAAATTGGAATATGCTTGTTTTTATTTTTTTGTGGTTGCAGAGGAAAAGAAAGCAATGCTGCAGGAAATAGCTAATCAGAAAGGAGTCTCCTGTCGTGCCCAAGGCTGGAAAGTCCACCTCTGTGCTGCCCAGTTACTACAGCTGGTAGGTGTAGTTCTAGAAGCCATTGCATCATGCTGCAGGTTGGGGTTATGCTAGACATATCCAAGTCCATAAGACATTTTCTTTGGAGTCATTCTGAAGCATTTCCAATGTGGGTCGTGGTACAGTTTTTGTATGTGCCATATATTATTAACTACTCTGTCACTTACATATGTTTATAATCTAAATATATCTTAGTTCTGGAACCCAGATCCAAAACATGGAACAACTGTGCCATAAAGCCTAAAATTAAGATTCAGTGTTATGTGTTGTTCTGACATCTGAAACGGGGTGCCTCAGATGACCTAGCCATAAAGCCCTTACCCCATCTTCTCCCACAGATAAAGTCCCCTGGCAAACAACCCTTCTTAACTGCAAGGGCCTACATAGTTTTTGCTTCTTGCCAAATAGCAGGCTTCATCTCCCTGCCAGCTTCTGATACTGCTCATAGAAGCCCACCACATTCTTCCTCAGGGAGCAGGGGCAACCCTCCATCTTGATACTACAAAGCCTGCTGCCAAGCACCTGCCTGTTCATTCTGCTCCTGAGTACAACTCATGTGACTCCACATGGTTTGTGGTGTCCACCTGCCCCAGGTTGTGAGTGTATGTGATACAGAAGCTGCTGTTGCTCTCATCTGTCCAGTGATAAATCTTTGCTCTGCCATTTTCCTAATGCCAGGGAGGAAAACGCCCCCATCACCTACTGGCAATCAAACCAGGACCTCATGAAGCCATACTTTGAAGTAGTAGCTATCTGAAGAACATTGGTGGGACCAGCAGGTGGCATAATGGCTACATCACTGGACTCCCATATAGTCAACCATGGTTCGAGTCCTGGATCCAGCAGCTTAAACTCATGCTGGACACGTGTGCGTGCCCAAGATCCCGAGAGGAGAATGGAGGAGAAGGGATTGTGCCATGGCCATCCCCCCTGGGGCGTGATTTCTTGCTTTCTGTCTCTCTGTCTCTCTCTGTCTTTCTGGCAAGTGCATGTGCCCTATAGCAAAAACCTCTCCAAGGGGGGGGGGGGGAAGGAGAGCATTGGCTATCATGAGTATCTAAAAAATGTAGAGTGCCTTGGCTTGTTTTCACTTAGCAGATGATCATCTTTCTGTGAAACTTGTTTTTCAGAGAATTTGCGAATTCAGGGGATGTATTTAAAAGTCTTCCTTCATAGGAGGCCCAGTTTCTATTCCCAGACCAACCTATACCCAGGCCAGGTGTGGTGGTATGGCATGAAGCTAACTGGGAGGCTGGGACAGGAATACAGTGACATGGCAAAACCCTGTAAAAAACATATCTGTCTCTGTCTCTACCATCTTTCTCTGTTATTTGAAAACAAAAATTACTGGGGACCAGCAAGTGGTATGGTTAAGGCACTAGATTCCCACATGACTGAAGACACTTCAAGACCTAGACCCAGTGGCTTGAAAATCCAAATTTTCTAGAAGAGAAGGGATTATAGTGTGGCCGTCTGTCCCCCTGACCCCACCTCGGGTGGGAGGGGATGATTTCTCACTTTACCTGTTTCTCTTCAGGGAATGCATGTGCTCTATGACAAAAACCTTTTTAAAAGTTATCCTTGAAGATAGACTGTGAATTTTAAAAAAATTATTTATCAACTTCCTTTACCCTTTGTTAATCTTAGTACCTTAGTCCTTGAGAGAAAGAATTTTATTACCCCAACAACTCTTGTGCCAGTTTACACAGGTGATACAAATGGGTTCATCTGCTAGATTGCCATAGAAAAGTATTCTAAGGTTTCAATATCCTCCTTCTTATGTATTGCAGACAAATCTGGAACATGATGTTTATGAAAGACTGACCAACCTACAAGAAGGGATTATCCCAAAGAAAAAAGCAGCGACTGATGATGATCTGCACCGAATAAATGAGCTCATACAGGTATGCGTGAGCCCTCTCCCTCTGGCTGTCCTCTTTATGAAAGTGTTTACTGTAACCTCCTGTTTCTATTTCCCTCCCTCCTCTACTGATATCTTCAGTGAAAACCTTTAATTTACTTCAGCCTGCTTACCAAGAAACACTAAGACATTTTCTCTGTGTGAAAACCTCAAAGTGGCCCCTGCCCAGAGGTGAGCAGTTCTTTAGGAGCCTTATGATCCTCAGAGTCACTGGTTGATGCTCTGATGTCTTCTGTTTCAGGGAAACATGCAGAGGTGTAAACTTGTGATGGATCAGATCAGTGAGGCCAGAGACTCCATGCTTAAAGTTTTAGATCATAAAGATCGTGTTCTGAAGCTTCTAAACAAGAATGGGACTGTCAAGAAAGTGTCAAAATTGAAGCGAAAAGAAAAAGTCTAAATCCAGAAGAATCAGGAACTTGGAAACAGAATTTATGAAGAATGATGGTTGGGGAGGGGGGAGGGTTCTGTTTATTTTCAAAGTGGAACATTGAAATAAAGGAAGTGTTCCTTAACTCCGTGTGAAAGCAGAGGGACCCATGGCATCCAGTGGCATGAAAGGATCAGAGCTGACTTGACATGGTGGGCCCCGTTCTTTGTTTCAGACGCATCCATGTTAATCCTGTTTTGTGCCGTAAGTGACTCCTGCAACATCAGTGGCCACAGTTGGAGGCAGCGACACAAATGGGTAGCTGGCGCTTTCAGCCTTCTGGTTTATAGGCTCTGTTTATCTGGTGGATTCCCACAGGACCCACGCTGAGCCTGGACTGAGAGTATCCACTCGGACCATCGGTTATCTCTACACTGAAAACAAAGCCTCTTGCCCTCACCCAGTCAGTTCTTCAGTCTGACCTTCAGATGCCCACATTGGCCTTTTACACAGTGCCACGGCACCACAAGAGCTGCCACATCTCACTCTAAAGGCTTTGAACTATCAGTTCTTGTCATTTTTTTAAAGAACCATTTCCAAGTGAAATTGTATATTGTCTGTCCTATGTGTGTCAGAGTCGGGTTTTGTGGAAGTTCAGAGCAGGCACCACCGTGAGATGCTCTGAGACCCCGTTCTGAAGTACGCCCTTGGCTATCTGTACTTCTGTAGCTGGTGTGATGCTGTTAATTGTATGTACCACACATCTCCAGATGCTAATAAAGGACTCAAAGAGGTTTTTGTACTTGAGCGGTTGGCGTCTTTTTCTAAAATGAATCAGTGCAGTACTGAGCATCACCGAAGTGTCTGCCCTGCTGTAGTTTCTCACACATTGTTAAGACTACTGGGTTAAGGATTGGTTATTCCACAGAGTTCCACTTAGCCCAGTAATTGAAGATCTTAACAGCACTGAAGTCTGTTGGTTCATGGCTTCTTAAATACAAGCTTATAGTTGCATGTTCTGCCAAACAAGGTTTTGCGGAGGACCAGCCCTCAGACCAGGCCAGGCAACAGAGTGGGGCCCAGGGACCGAAGAGGGGGAGGATAAATTATTCGTATCTGAGCTCTGCCATTACTTACTTCTTTTGTGAAATAGAGTAGGCATTAAATAAAGGGTACTGGGTTTGGCAGTTCCAGCCTCTTGGGACTCTTTCTGTTTGTTTTTGCTGAAGAGAACAAAACTTATGGGGATGTGTGTTTGGGGAAGGGTGCTTCAGGGAGAACCAAACTATTCCATCTGCATTCCCCCATCCCACTAGTACTGGCGCTTGGAGAGAGGAGAGGGAGATCACTTGATCAGTCACCAGCACTTTCATGTGTGTGCGTTCCCAGGATCCCAAGAGGAGAATGGAGGAGAAGGGATTGTGGCATGGCCATCCCCCCTCCCCCCCCCCGCCACCCCTCCAGGCAGTGATTTCTCACTTTCTGTCCTGTCTCTCTGGCAAGCACCCATGCCCTAAAGCAAAAATCTCTCTCAAAAAAATTTACATTAGAGTAAAATTTATTCTGGTGTACAGTTCTTTAAGCTTTGATAAATGCACTGAGATGTGTAACCACCAATAGAATCAAGATACAGAACAGTTCATTTAGACTTGCCCCACCAAATTCATTCCTACTATGTTATAGTCAAAATCAGTATCCTGCATTTAACCCCTGGCAATTACTGACTCGTTCTTTGTCCTTACAGTTTTGTCTGTTGAGAGCAGTCATAAAAGTGGAATTGTACATTGTGAAACTTTTTAAGAGTGACTTTTGCTAAAAATCTTTCATTTAGATTTGTCCATGTTGTTGGGTGTTAACAGAAGTTCTTATTTCTGACTTGTACTTCATTGTGTGTGTGTACAATTTTTTATTTACGTATTCCTCAATTGTAGGACATTTGGGCTCGTTCTAGTTTTGGTGATTATGAGTAAGGCTAGTATAAACATGAAAAAAAAATTACAAGCTTATTTTATGGCCCAGTACAGATAAATTGGTCAGATTGTGTGACTATTGAGGCTGAGGTGCAAGGATGGGTAGACCTTCCCCAGGTTGTTCTTGCTTCCTTCAGACCACCCTGAGTGGCAAGGTGGCCCAGGCTTCCTTTGAGCACAATATCACCATCTCTCCCTTCTATCTGGTCTCTAAGTGCCAGGCCAGGAAAGATCATCTTAGAGGGCAAGACCTCATCACCCTCCTTCCCCAGGACCTGTGTTTCCACCTATCTTTTTGCCCTAACCTGAACAGATTTGAGACAAGGAGTGTGTGCTATTTCTGCTCAGGCCCTTGGGACCCACGCCCTGGCTCCTCTGAGATAACCTTCTTCACATTGTAATGGTAAACTTTAATCCGATATGTGATTGGGATATCGCAGACTTTGGCCTTCCTGGGGTTAGGCCACACAAGGCCTGTATAGTCTAAGCTGAGAAAAGTGCTACAGTGATGAAGGCTCTCCACCAGCATGTTTTATTGGCATGTGGTTAAGCCCAACTTTAAGGGCTTTTACCAGGGCCAGCAGGTGGCATGATGGTTAAGGCACTAGACTCCCACATGGCTGACTGTGATTCAAGTCCTGGACCCAGTGGCTTGAAAATCACACCCAGTGTGTGTGCATGCATGCCCAAAATTACAGGAGGATGGAGGAAAAGGGTGACCATCTCCCCCTGCGGGGTAATTTCTCATGTTCCTTCTCACTATCTCACTCTAGTGAACACATTAGCTCTATGGCAAAACTTAAAAGAAAGAAGGGGGGGGAAGGGTAAAGGCAACTGGATCCACATGGCCAACTGTTAGGTATGAGTACCAAACACAACAGCTAGTAGAGAAGGTGGGCACATATGTGGGTGCCTGGCCAAAATCCTAACAGGATGAAGAAATGGAGAAGGGATTGTGGCATGGCCATTCCCCATGAGGGGTGCTTTCTTGCTTTCCCTCTCTCTGTCTCTTTCTTCCTCCAGTGAGTGCACTTGCCCTCTATCAGATTTTTTTTTTTTAAGGTTATAGCCAGTTGTTCACTAGGTGCCAGGGAAGTATGATTTAGAATAATGTTCCTTTGTACTTCTCATCTGTACGCAGTTGCCCCAGTGGTCACGTGGTCTGCTAATGGAGGGCAGGCTCTGGTATTTGGGATTCTGTGTTACAGGCATGTTCTCTAAAAGTGTTATCACCATTTGAACAAAATGTAATCATTGGTTTTCATAAGAAGCTTGTCAGTAAAAGCCTTGAAGTCAGTGCAGGTTAGATCAATAGCGTTGTCACTATTTCTTTGCCTTATGAGTACAACACAGTCCGAAGTTGGGAGAGGCAGGGGTGATGAATCTTGCCTATGAACCCCATGGTTTTTGAAAATAGCTTTATTGAAGAGGAGTAGTTGACATACAATCAACTAAATTTTTTTTTATTTTAGAGAGAGAGGTTTTTCGCTATAAGGTGCGTGCGCTCGCCAGACAGAGAGAGACATAGAGACAGAAAACGAGAAATCACCCCCCAGGGGGGATGGTCATGCCACAATCCCTTCCCCTCCATTCTCCTCTCAGGATCTTGGGCACGCACGCACACACGCCCGGCGTGAGTTTTAAGCCACCAGGTCCGGGACGCGAACCACGGTCAACTACGTGGGAGTCCAGTGACATAGCCATTACGCTAACTGCTGGTTCCCTCAACTAAACATTTTAAAGCCTACTATTTGATAAGTTTTGACACATGAACCATGAAACTATCCCTATAATCCGCACAATCAAGATATTGAACATAGCCCCACTCGACTTTCTTGTGTCTGATTTCTTACCGCCTGCCCTTAGCCTTCTCCCCATCCCCAAGCAGACATTTATCTGCTTTCTGTTATTCTAGATTAGTTTGCACTTTCTAGAATTGTAAATGAGTTCAGTCATACCATGTGTACTTTCTCGGTGGAGGGAGTCTGGCTTCTCTTACTTGGCATAGTGGAAATTCATGCTGAGTTTTATTCATGATGCTTGTTTCCGTAGTTCATTGCTTTTTATTGCTGAGTGGATTTGCATTATATGGATATTTAACAAGTTTTTTTATTCACCACTAGGAAGACATTTGGATTATTAGGTTTTGAAGATTACAGATAAAATTCTTGTACATTTGCGTCATATGAATGAGCAAATGCAAATAAAACTTTTTTTTCCCCCATAGGGTACATGCACTCTAAGGAGAGAGACAGAAAGTGAGAAATCACCCTCCAGGGAGGATGACCATACTGCAATCCCTTCTCCATTCTCTTGGTATTTTGGGCATGCTCACACGTATGCCCAGCATATTTTCAAGTCGCTGGGTCTGTGACTTGAACAGCAAAATTGGCCATGTGGGATCCAGTGCCTTCACCATGATGAGGGCCACCTGTTGGCCCTCATGCAACTTTTTTATTGGTGATTTTATGTTAAGTTGTGTTCACTAGGATTTATGACCAGGAGATAGTACTAAAAAGTCCAGAGGCCATATCACTCTTACTCCTGAAAGGCTAGCCCCATAGCATAGCAGTTATGTACTATGCACAGGAAGCTGGATCCCACATGGCTAACTGAGGTTCAAGTCCCTGCTCTGGCAGCTTGAAGTACCTGCTGGGACCATGTGCACATGTGCCCCGAGTCATGGCAGGAGGAAGAATGGAAGGAAAAAGGATTGATGTGACCTGACCCCATTGAGAGAGTTTTTATCTTCTCTACGCTCCCACCCCATTGCATTCACTCATGCTCTCTACCATGAAGGGAATATATTTGAAATAAGATGTGGATTTGATTTCTGTTCTTTACAGTGGAAAAGCAAAGAAATATAAATCTGGAAAAAAGTTTTAACCCATCTCGCTGGTCTAGAAAATTTTTCATGCTATTTTTTAAAACCTATTTCAAATGACCATTAAATAGAAAATGCTTTATAAGATTTTCATCTTCAGCAACTTTATCATAGAAATGATAATAATTTTAAGTTTGAAAAGGTATCTAGAGGGACCAGCAGTTGGCGTAATGGCTATGTCATTGGACTCTCATGTAGTCAACTGTGGGTCGAGTCCTGGACCTGGTGACTGAGATTTATGCAAGGCACATGTGTGTGTGTGCTCAAGATCCCGAGAGGAGAATGGAGAAGAGATCGTGGTGTGGCCATCCCCCCAGGGGGTAATTTCTCACTTTCTGTCTCTCTCTGTCTTTCTGGCGAGCGCACACACCCTATAGCAAAAACCTCTATTAAAAAAAAAAAAAAGATGTCTAGAGGTTGTATAGTCCAATCCAACATGTGATGTAATGGAAACCTCCAAAAAGATGTATATCTTCCCCTTTTTTATTGTAATATACCACATGGATACAAAAAACTACTATATGAAGCAAACGTGTACATTCATAAGTTCTCAAAAGAACAACTTTAGGGTCCTGCAGATGGCATAGTGGTTATGTTACTGGAGTCCCACATGGCCAACCGCAGTTCGAGTCCCAGACCTGGTCTGATGGCTTGAAACATGCCGGGCATGTGTGTGTGTGAGTTCAAGATCCCAGGAGGAAAATGGAAAAGGGATTGCAGTGTGGCCATCCCCCAGGGGGTGATTTCTCATTTTCCCTCTCACTGTCTCTGCCTTGTCCCCACCTTCCCACCAACCAGTGCACATGCCCTAAGGCAAAAACCCTCTTTAAGAAAAAAAAAACTTCAAAACTACCATCAAGATTAAAAAAAGAGAGACCAGCAGGTGGTGTGGTGGTTAAGGTGCTGGACACTCCCACATGGCTGACTGCGGTTCAAGTCCTGGACCTG